TGTGTGTGTGTGTGTGTGTGTGTGTGTGTGTGTTATGCGTGTGAGGAGTGTTAGCATACACATACACTGCACATGTGGAAGTCAGAGGCCAGCGTCCAGGACACTGGGTTCTCCTCTTCTACCTTCAAGTCAGGATGTCTTTTGTTGCTGCTTATCTTTGCATGGTGAGCAGTAGAGACAGGGAAATTACCTAGGAGTTGGTGGAAATTTGCAAAGATATCTATCGATCCATCTATCTACATTCCTAAATACATAAAGAAAACCTACCAGGTCCATATAATGTTACTTGTATGTATATGTTTTCAGGGATGACTGTTTGATACTGGATAAGCAATTGGTGTTTTCTTTCCTGGAAAGGATATTTCTCCTAGTCTCTGCCTTCCTTAGTTGCTTCTAGTTCTTTGTCTAGTGTTGAGGACTTGGTGAGCTTCCCCTCTTCCATGCTAGCATCTCTATTGGTATTATTCTTGCTCAGGATATGTTTAGACAACCGTGTTTGTGTGATCTCATAGGTGTCGCTGCTCTGCAATTTCTAGGACATACAATCTCACACCAAATTTTTTGTTTCTCTGGCTTTTAAAAAATCTTTACTCCAGCCTGGTCTACAGAGTGAGATCCAGGACAACCAGGGCTACACAGAGAAATCCTGTTTCGAAAAACCAACCAACCAAACAAACAAACAAAAACTTTACTCCTCCTCTTCCACAATCCCTGAGCCTTAGACGCAGGGGTTGTTTTGGTTGTAGAGGTACAGTTGGGATTGGGCTCTACATTTCTGCATTCTGACCAGTTCTACTTTTCTGTAATCTGTCTTCTGTAAAGAGAAGTTTCCTCAACGAGGGAAGAGAACTAAACTGATCGCAGTATAAGGATAAACATTTAGAATGTAGTCAGGGGTTATGCTAGTTTAATAGCATGGCGGTGGTAGATTCTTCTCCATGATCTATGATCTCCCTAGCCTTTTAGTACCAGGCATGATTTCCCTCTTATTGAGTGGGCTGTAAGTCCAATTTGAGAGCTGTTGCTTATTGACAAGGTATTTGTGCCACTACTGCACCTTAGGGTGCAGTATTGTGCCATACTGGTCTTTGCTCTGGATCAAAGGTATCATAGCTGGGTAGGACTCCTGGATCTTTCCCTCCTTAGAAAGCTTGCATGGTGCCTTCAGCTACCATGAAATTTAGTTCTCAGGGAGGAGGTTTTTAGGTAGGATTTTTTTTAAAAAAAATTAGATTCTGGAAACTGAATTCAGAACCAATTCCATGAAGTTGTCCTCTGACCTTACATCCATGTTAAGGCATGGATATCCACATACAGACATCATATACACACATTCGATAATAATAGTAGCAAAAAGTTTAAATGTTATAATAATAAAATAAGCCTCAAATCAAGGGCTAGCAAGATGGCTTAGTAGGCAAAGGTACTTTCTACCAAGCCTGATGGCTTTGAGTCTGATTCTTGGGACCCACATAAGTGAAAGGAGAGAACCAAGGTTCACCAAGTTGTCCTCAGACCTCCATATGCAAGCTCTGGTGACCTGTGCACACAGAAATACATAAACAAATGAGCCAAAAAGACAAAACTGATTTTATAATTCAGAACTCCCAAGAAAGAAATGCCCAAGCCTAAATAGTTTCACTGGGAACTAGTACTAAAGATTAGAATTAACAGAGACCGGAGAGAAGGCCCAGGGGTTATGAGAGTTTACTGCTTTTGCAGAGGACCCAGGTTTGATTTCCAGGTTGATTTGCATCAGGTGAGTCACAATTACCTGTAATTCCACGGGTCTGATCCCCTTTGGCCTGCAAAGGCACCTGTACATAGGTGGTACATAGAACTCACACAGGCACATATATAATATTAATACAAATAAAAGTATTTTTAAAGTTAGTAGGAGTTCTGTTTAGTCTCTCTTACAAAATAGAAGAAGAGAGAATACTTCTGTGTTAGTCAACTTTCTATAAGTATGACAAAATACTTCGGACAATCAACTTAACAGGAAAAAGGGTTAGCTGGGCATGGTGGCCCAAGCCTGTAATCTCAGTACTTGAGGAGCTGAGGCAGGAGGATCTCAAGTTTGAGGTGGGACAGGGCTTCATATTGAGTTCAAAGTCAGTCTGGACTACACAATGACAGGAGAGGTGGGGGACAGAAGAGAGAAAAGAAAGGGAGAGGACAAAGGAGAAAGAAAGGAGAGGCAAGAGTGGTGTGCGTGTGTATGTGTGTTTATGTGTGTGCATAGATGTGTGTGCATTTGTGTGTGTCAGTATGCGTGCATACATTCGTGTGTGTGTGCATTTGTGCATGTGTGTAAGAGAGAGATTGATCAATTTTGGTCCATGGTTTTGTAATCAGAACACTAGAGTTTGTGATACTTGTCACAATAGAGGCCAATGAGCACAGATGGAGATCGAATCTTTAGGTTGTGTTCTATTCATACAGTCTCAGTCTGAGATTGCAATGGGTTAACACAGATGGGTGGGGGTGGGAGAGAGGATAGAGTGGGCAGAGGCAGAGTATCCTAGTTTGCTTTCTGTAGCTGTGATAAACACCAAGTCCAAAAGCAACTTGAGAAGGGAAGAGTTTGAGTCCGCTTACACTTCCAGATTTGCATCACTGAGGAAAGTCAGGGCAGGAACTCAAGGCAGGGACTTGGCAGCAGGAACTGAAGCAGAAGCCATGGGTAACTGCTGCTGACAGGCTTGCTCAGCCTGCTGTCTTATACACCTCAGAACAAGTACTCAGGGTGGCACCGCTCAAAATAGGTTCACTCTCTCTTATCAATCATTAAGAAAGAAAATGCTTCCACAGGCCTGCTTACAGGCAGTATGGATAAAGGCATTGTCTCAATTCAGGCCTCTCTTTCCGGATGACTCTAGCTGTGTCAACAAAACTACAAACAAACAAACAAACAAACCCAAACCAGGACAGTCTGGTATGAGATACTTTCCTATGAATTATTGTCTAGGAAGGCTCCAGAGGCCCCCTAAAATAACACAGGTTGTTGCCACTGTTATTGGTTGTCCACCAGAATTAGACACTTCTTAGTTACTGTTCTATTGCTATGAAGAGGTAACATAACCAAAGCAACTCATAAAAGAAAGATTTTTTTAAAATAAATACATCATTTTCTTCCTTCCATCTTTCCTTCCTCCTAACCAACCACAGTTTCCCTCCTTCCTTTCCTCTCAGTCCCTCCCTGCCTCCCATTGAATCTACTCCTCTTTTTCTTAAAAGAGAGAATTTAATTGTGAGCTGGCTCACAGTTTCATAGGATTAGTCCATTATCATCGTGGTATGGCATGGTGGGGATATTTTAGGAGCATGGTGGCACTCATGGGGCTGGGGCAGTAGCTGAGAGTTATATACTGATCTGGAAGCTGAGACAGACAGACAGACAGACAGACAGACAGACAGAAGATAGAAGAGGGAGTTCATACTTGTTACTGTGAGCCTAGTCAAAGACCCATAGCTGGGAAAATCATAGGTCCTCAGGAATCGCCTTCTACTGTTGAGCTAAATGAATATGTTGTCTCCTAAACATTTGTTTATACTTACAGAGTGGCACAGCCTCAGTTTTGGTCAGAGAAATAAATCTCTTTTTGCAGCAAATAACAGGTAATACAAACAACCATGGCTGGTCGAGGTGCTGAGTGTGACTGTTAAGCACTCAGCTCTCAGCGCACCTCAGCCTCTCTCAGAGCTTAGGGGAACAGCATAGAAGAAGGAGCAGAAAGAATGTAAGAACTGGATAAAGGGGAGGAGGGTTGTAACACACATGACACGGCCACTGCAATCAGAATTCACAACTGCAGTTACCTGCACAGGACCTGCACAAGACTGGATGCCCAGCAACATTCAGTCATGGATGGAGCAGGGGTCGTGGGATGTTTTGAGACATAAGCAAAATTTACACCTCATCCCAAATAAACTGAGGCATGATTCTGCCGAAGATCACTCTGGGGGAACCAATGAGTTCCTTGAGGTTCCTGACAAAGCATACACAGGTCAGGGGTTACTTACAAGGGCTGTGAATGATGCTCTTCCCAAAGGTCACACCTGAAAGCCTCTATCCAGCAGGGATGAGGGCTTCTCCAGTAGCCAGGTAGCTGGAGCCCATTTCCCTGGCTATATACTCTACTCTGTCAATGAGGCCATGTTCAATTTAGGCAGAGTTGCATATAACAGGTAGTAGGATGCAGCTAGATACTCAGGAGAGGGTCTTGTGACACTCCTTGCTACTCTATGAGGAGACAGAGAAGTCCAACTGGGGCTAACTTTTTGCAAAGGGGCGACCTGTACTCCCCAGAGATAGTATTTGCACACAACATGGAGCCTGGTTCCTTCCTGAAAGCTACTGGCAGTTACAGCTGCTGAGAGAGAAGGCATACTCTTCAGGTGTATAGTCACTGGTGAGTTATCTATGCTCCTGAGGATAGTCCCACAATCTTTTCCATGTGAGCAGCCTGTGAATCACCAAAAAAGATTACCGAATGAGAATTTGTTGAGGAGGGGGTGGGGGCGAGCAAGGAAAGGAAGGCAGAGGGCAGGGAGTGTACAACTTGTACTTTTTCTTTCTTCCTTTTTGAGATAAGGCCTCACTCTGTAGCCCAGGCTGGCCTGTAGACCAGAAGGCCCTCGAACTTTTGACAATCCTCCTGGCTCTGTCTCAGGGTGTGGGGATTACAAGCGCGTACCACTAGGCCCAGCTCTTTGCTTTTATCCTGTGCGGGTTGTACACCTGAAGCAGTTAAAGCTCAGGGGAGTAAATTGGCTAGAGCCTGTCTCCACGCTCCCTCCCAGTCGAGTGCCAGGGGTCCAAAGGTCACAGTGCATAACATTTATGATTTTTGAGGCAGAGATCGAAGTTCGGCCTCGCTCTCGTTCGGCTCAGCGCCGCGAGCTAGGCTCCGCCCCCACGTTTCAGCCCCCACCCCAGCAGAACTCATGAATATTCAAATAAGAAGATATTTAAAGACGCCGGCGCCAGGCGTAGATCCCTGCCCCGCGCCGCCCGGCCCCCTTCACAGAGTTCATCACTCCTAGCGGAAGCGCCGCCAGCATGTCTGATAAACTGCCCTACAAAGTCGGTGAGTCTCAAGGGTTCAGTCCTCTGTGGCGACTCGGCTCCCGTCCTGGGTTTGTTGTCAGTACCGACTTGCGTCTTGTTTAGGTGGCGGCCTCGGGGCGCCCGGGACCCCTAGAATCGCTAGCCTGGCCCCGCAGGTGCCTGGGGACTGGAGTCCACACACCGCCCAGAGCCAGGAGTGGGAAGCGGCCGCGGACTACATGTCCCGGCGTGCCCCGCAGCAGGCGCCCTGAGCGGCAGCGCGGGCTGCGATCCTTGGTCGGGCAGCGTGCTTCTCTGAGAGACTGGCCCTTGGGAAGCGGCCTTAGAGGCCCTGGCCCTGGCGTTTGGCGGCTTGGGTGGCCCCTAGCAAGGGCCCACCGTCTTCTGGGCCTTGATCAGGGCCGGAGAGAGCATCGGTGTTCCAGGTGCTAATGAGGAGTGGCCTGGAAACGGCCAGTCCCGGTGCATCGGGGACTTAGTCTGTGATCAGCTCAGTCCGTGGGGTATCTAGTGGATGTCTAGAAAATTTGGAGTGGTTAGAAATTACTGTTCATTTTGTCCCGATTATAGAAAGCTGAGTGTAAACACCTTCACTTGAGCGTTTACAGTGGGATAGGCACTGCCTTGTAGCTTATTCTAGATAGTCCGTTTTATTATTGTAGCTCTCTATGGAAGGAACGATTTTACGTTTACAGTGAAAATCCAGAGGTATAAAGGATATTTTACCAGAATCTTGTAACTGGAAAGCGGTCGGCTAGAATTTGGACCCAGGACATCATCCCTTTCACTGTTGTCTGCATGCAAGGCAATACACTTGAAACAACCCTAATGAAATTTCAGCACAATCCAGTTCACACTGCGTAGTGACACAGATTTGTAATCCCAGCCCAGCACTCACTACTGAGGCCGAGGGGGTCATCGATCAACCGATTTCAGAAGTCAGCCTGGGCACACAGTGAATTCCAGACCAACCTGGACAAACTAGGGAGAACCTATCAAAACAAAACTACAAACCAAACAAACAGAAAAACAAAGCAATTCAGGCTGGCTAGCTTTTAAAATAGTCTCAATACAACATGAGATGGATGCTACCTGTTAGGCAGGAACCTAGGGAAGTGACTTGGAAAATTCATATTAAGATAGTTTATCAGCCAGCAGAGTAGTCTGTTGCCTCCATTGGGTAGAGGCTGAGACGAGCCCAGAGAGATTTAAGTCAGTGTTGTCTTGGCGGAAGACCTAGAATGGAGGCTTGCCTTACTGTGGAGGGGTTGGAGGTCCACGGATTGTATGGATGAAGATAAGCCTGGGTTCTTGCCTGTGTAGTTGTGGAGGCGTGAATCATCCATCAAGGAGGGTATACTATATGCTAGGCCTCACGTGTTTGGCGTCTCCTATAATCCTTGGGTGTTTAGTAAGGTTCAGGTTGATTATCCTTACTTTGAAGAAGTGGGTCCTGTACCATCTCTTCATGAATCGTTGCTCATTTATTTTTAGCAGCTGGTATGGTTGGTAAATATTTTCTGACTCCTCTGTGCCAGGGCCTGCTGATCATTGGAGGTATAAAGAGACCCAGGCACAAGGTTGAGACAGATATTATAGCATAGTGTCAGTTTTATGTGAGGAGATCTGTCACTTTTCTCTCCATGGTTACCAGCCCCCATCCTCATCTCCTCACAGGTCTCTGATCTTCTTGCTACCGTTTTATTTGCCTGTTTTTTTTGAGCCTCAGCTGGTCTTGAATTTGATCTTTCTTTAGCCTCAACACCACTGTTTATAGGCACATGTTGTTACAGTTGGCCAATAGAATCTTCTCAAAAGAAAAATCTGGTCATTGAATAACACCTCCTTTGATTTGAAACTCTGTAGGTGACCTACCTCACTGAGAGTAAAGCCTCTGTTTGAGTCAGCCTGCCCATTTTTAGTTTCTTTTTTCTTTCTCTCTCTTTTTTATTATATATGAATGGGTGTTTTGTCTGAATGTATGTCTATGCACCACAGAGGCCAGGAGAAAGTGTTGTTGGTTCCCTGGAACTGGAGTTACAGACAGTCGTGAGTCTCCATAAGCTGCTGGAAATTGAACCCAGAGCAGCCAGTGCTCTTAACCATTCAGCCATCTCTCCAGCTTCTCCATTTTCAGGTGTTTGAGCATATACTGAGCCTGGTACTCGGTATGAGCCTTCACAGGTTAACTACCTGTGTTAAAGGCCTACAATGGGAGAGATCTGTGTGTCTGAGAAGCTAGTAAGGAGAATAAGGTGGTAGGTAGACTTGTGTGGGACCTGAAGCCCAGGTAAGGGTTAGGATTTTAAATTTTTTAAAGGTTTCCAACTGGGCTGTAATGAGGAACATGGTATGTGGGAACAGAGGGGATGGTGAAGCTGCTTTGTTGAGAAGTTAGGCTTTAGACGAGGGTGAGATGTTCAGTCAAAACCATGCTGATGGAGGTAGGGTAGGATGGCCCACATCCTTAACCTCAGTACTCGGAAGGCAGTTATCTGTGAGTTTGAGGCTAGCCTGGTCTACACAGCGAGTTTCAGGACAACCAGAGCTATGTAATTGGCCCTGTCTCAAAAAAAAAAAAAAAAAAGGAACACAACACAAAACCCAGCACAGAAATGGGAACAAAAAATTTTATAAGGTTTGGGTTGAATAGTGGTTTCATTTCCTAAAATGGGAAGATTGAAGGTGTTAGGCCAAGGAGTCTTGAGGGCTTGTACTTAAGTGTAGAGGTGCTGAGTCAGCAGTTGGATCCTGTTTCTCAAATTCCTGGGAGAAGTTTGCACTGGAGGTAAATACGTGGGAGTCATCAGCACAGGGGAGGTATTCAGAATCATACGCGCAGTGGAGAAGAGCTACTGTGGATCCCTGAGGGTTCCTAGAGTTTGCCAGGAAGGTGGGAGGGAAGGCACAAGAGAGAACCGGATGCCAAGGAAGGGAAGCATTTCAGAAATGAGGGAGTCGTTAGTGGGCCCTAGCTCCTGTGAGAAGCCTGAGCTTCAGAAGCACCCAGTTACCTAGGTGATCAATACAATGGTAAGATCTGAAGGGGTGAGAACATGGTCGGGCACCAGGGACAGCTCATCTTTTGCAGCAGACAAGAATGCCTAGTTAACCACAGATGGAGTTTGTGACTGGAAAGTGAATGATTCTGAACGGTTAGTGAATTGTGACATATTATCAAGTTGATGGGAGAGATGTTTAGGGAGAGGAGAAGGAAAGTCAATTTACTAGGAAAATGTGGTAGCATTGCTTGGATGTGCCAGGTTTCCATCAGATTTCCCATTCATAGTAAGCAAGGTGTCTTCCTGTGGTTGTGAGTCTCCTACTTGGTCCAGTGGCTTAGGTACAATGGAGGGCTGGCAGGTCACTGAAGCTTAGGATAGCCTCAAAATCATGGCAGTCTTTGTAACTCAGCTTCCCCAGTGCTGGGATTACAGGCATGAGCCATTCACTCCCCCCCCTTTTTTTTTAAGATTTATTTATTTTTTTCATGTATGTGAGTTACACTGTAGCTGTCTTCAGACACACCAGACGAGGGCATTGGATCCCATTACAGATGGTTGTGAGCCACTAAGTGGTTGCTGGGAATTGAACTCAGGGCCTCTGGAAGAGCAGTCAGCGCTCTCAACTGCTGAGCCATCTCTCCAGGCCTCACCCTAGCTTTAAGTAGCAGCTTTGCCTAGCCAGTTCTCAAGAGTCTAAGAGAGCAGGGAATGGACAGTGAGGTAGAGATCATGAAGAGAACACTACAAATTGATAAAAGTCAATGGTTTACAGATTCTGAGCTGGTTGCTTCCTCTTGGAGTTGGAAATCTATAGGGAGAAGGGCCACAGCTATTATTTGAAATCCAGATTTCTGAAGTGCTCTCATTGTTGATGTCCTGGGTAGTGGTGTGTGTTTGTATATGTATGTTTGTATATGTATGTTTGTATATGATGGAGCTGTGTTTGTGTAGCAGGAGTGAACCCTTCCAGAAGGGTGGAATGCTGACCTTGGGAACTGTTGGTGGTGCTGGAGGTTGAATGTAGGGCCTTGGACATACCTTGAGATTATTTAATGGACACAATTTGAGATTATTTAATGGAATTTAGAAAACAGTAATGTATTATTGTTGTTGTTGTTGTTGTTATTTGAGATAGGGCCTCATGTAGCTCAGGTTGGCCTTGAACTTGCCATGAAGTCAAGGATTCTCTTCTTCTTGTCTCCATCTCCCAAGTACTGGGAATACAGGCATGTTCTTCTGCTCTTGGCCTGATTAAATTATTAAACTATAGCAGCCTCCTCTCTGCTTCACCCTCCATTTCCTAGAGTGATTGGGAAGATCTAAGGCCTCCTAAAGATAAAAATCATGGTGCTGGGGATGCCTGTCTTCTTATCATGAGAACCTGAGTTCAGATCCTTAGCGCCCATGTAAAACTGCAAGCACTTACAGTCTTGGTGCTGATGAGGCAGAGGCAGGAGGGTCTACCTAGCCAAAACAGTGAGCTTCAGGTACAATGGGAGATCCTGTCTCAAAAAACAAGGAGGAAAAGCTGAGAAAGACACTTGACATTGACCTTTAGCCTCTGTATACATGCACATACGTTAAAAAAGAGGCCGTTGTCCTTTCATTTTAAAAAATAATACACCTGCTGGATTTGATTTTTAGGTTTGTTGCTGGAATCTTCAGCCCTAATAAGTCTGTCTGAAAGATGCATAATTTAGATATATTAATTATAAACCATATGCCCAGATTGGTCAGATCTAGTACTATTCTTATTCCACAGCTATATGACCCCTTGTTAATTGCAGTTTCTCCTAGCCACACACTTCTGGCCCATTGTGCCTTCCTCCTCTTCCTCCGTCCTCTCTCTTCCCTACCTGCCATCCCCTCTCGAGCTTCCAGTCCCACGTTGGCAGGTGTCCGTGGAAAGGACTGACTGTGAGATTTATAGTTCCAGAGCTGATTTTCAAAGGGCACTTCTCTTTGTTGGGAGTGACAGATTGCCCAGCCTGAAGACTATAGGGTTACACTTGGATTGGTCCTCACAAAGTCATGGGACTTCGTGGTTGATGGGAGGAGGTGCTCGTGTAACTTACACATTCTGTTCCTGCAGCGGACATCGGACTGGCTGCCTGGGGACGGAAGGCCCTGGACATAGCTGAGAATGAGATGCCAGGCTTGATGCGCATGCGGGAGATGTACTCAGCCTCCAAGCCACTGAAGGGTGCTCGCATTGCTGGCTGCCTGCACATGACTGTGGAGACTGCTGTCCTCATCGAGACTCTCGTGGCCCTGGGTGCTGAGGTGAGGCCCACAGCTCTCTGACTCCTTTTAGTTGCTTGCCCTCTCTGGGTTCAGCCATGAATGAAGACTCTTACTGGTAGGGAGACCTAGCTTGCAGAGCCTTTTCTGGTCACCTTGGTTTTTCTCTCCATTTCCCATTGCTCCTGCTGCTACCCCCGGGGGCAAATAGTCTTTTGTATATTTTCTCCAGTTGGGAAGATAGCTTCTTTCTGACTGTTCAATACACCTTCCTGCCTGAGAGTGCTGGTAGTAGACCCCTCCCACAATGTTCCATTTAGTCATCCCAAAACACTCCCATTGGCCTTCCTTGGGCCAAGTGCATTCTGGACAGTCATGCTGCTAGAAAGGTAAAGTGCTTTGATTGGTTGAGCCTGAATCATGTATAGAAAGATCTCAAGGAGAAGGGGGCCTGGTAGATTTGTTTTTATGTGTGGGTATTTTGCCCACGTGACATTTGTGTACCACTTGCTTCCAGTGCCTGAGCAGGCTTGAAGAGGGTCTCAGATTCCCTACAACTGGAGTTACAGATGGCTGTGAGCCACCATGTTGGAGCTGGGAATTGAACTTGGGTCCTAGATAAGCAGCCAGTGCTCTTAACCACTGACTCTCCACCTCCCATGGCCATATTTTTATTTTCTTTTTGGTTTTTCGAGACAGGATTTCTCTGTGTAGCCCTGGCTGTTCTGGAACTCACTCTGTAGACCAGACTGGCCTCGAACTCAGAAATCCACCTGTCTCTGCCTCCAAGTGCTGGGATTAAAGGCGTGCGCCGCCACCACCTGTCATCGTATTTTTATTTTCAGTATTCAGCTTGCTGGTGATCTGATCTCATAGCTTTAAATACTGCCTGTGTGGTGATGATGCCTCACTACTTATACAAGCCTAACCCGAACCCACAGTCTTGTATGTCCAAATATTGGTATAAGCCACTTGGACACAAACACACTTAGTTTCCTGTCCTCTTTGTCCTGAAGGCTTTGCTACATAGCCTGTCTCCTTGTTCACATAGCGCTAGAGTATCACAGAGGCCAGGGAGGGTATCTGATCCCCTGGGATTGGAGTTCTGGGTGGTTGTAAGCTTCATTGTGGGTTCTTCATTGTGGGTGACCCTGGGTCCTCTAGAAGAGCAGCAGGTGCTCTTAACTGCTGAGCCATTTGTCCAGTGGTGTGTGTGTGTCTGTCTGTCTGTGTCTCTGTGTGTGTTGAGTCAGAATCTCCCTGTATAACTCAGGCTGACCAGGAACTCCCCATATAGCGCAAGCTGGTATTGAACAGTGATCTTCTTGACACTACATCCTGAGTCCTAGGATTATAAGTATACTCCCATGCCTGGGTCAGTGATTCATTGTGTTTTGTTTTGGTTTTAAGTGGTGTCTTGTAGCCACTCACTTGCCCAGAGTCTCCACCCTTGGCTTTAGGGGTTTCCTTTCCCTGTTCCTAACATCGGTGCTTCCTAGCCGCTGGTGACCAACAGCTTTGTTTTCCCTGGCCCTTCTAGGTGCGGTGGTCCAGCTGCAACATCTTCTCTACTCAGGACCATGCAGCAGCTGCCATTGCTAAGGCTGGCATTCCAGGTGAGTGGAGTCACTGGGGTATGTGGGAGTGAATAAGGCTCTCTGCTTTTTTGTGTTTCCTTTACTGAATCCTGTAGTAATAAGCTTCCATATGGTAGAGAGAGGATCTTAGCTTAGTGACTGACTGCAAAGAGCAGCCTTGCCCTCCTACCTTGTCTCAATCCCATGGAGATACCGACGTACTGAGCTGTGCCGTGTCCAAGGGAAGCATCTTATGACTGGGAGCCACACGGCATAAGAGGGCAGGGATTCTTAGAGAAGCTCTGTGGGTCGTGTTCTAAAGAACTGCCTAGGTGAAAGGCAGAACGAGTCTCAGCGGTGCACTGGCTGAGGTCTCGTAGTCAGGAGTATGAGAAAGGACCAGGGTTCAAGAGCAAAGACTTTGTCTAAACTGCTGCAGAATGGTGCATGTCTTTCTGGCCTGCAAGCAGGGGCCTGTTAGAGTCAATGGTGATTAAATAAAATACAGAAATCTTCATCAGTGGGCTGGAGAGATCTTTCAGCAGTTAAGAATACTGCCTCTTCTTCCAGAGGATCTAGGTGTGATTCCTAGCACCCACATGGTAGCTTACAACTGTTTGTAACTCCAGACCTAGGAGATCTGATAGCCTCCTCTGGCTTCCTCAGGCAACCAGGCAAAGACATGACATGCTTGCAGACAAGACACTTAAAGATTTGGTGATGATGGTGGGAATCCTAATCAGCTATAGGTAGAGGGGCAGAGGGAAGGGGCTCTTTAGTCTCACAGGGCTGAATGGCCTGTCAGCAGCTCCTACCTTGGCTAGACTTGGACTTGGTGGCCCTCATTCAGAAGAGGCTTTGCTTTCTACAGCATTATCTTCTACAGTGTGGGGAAGGAGGCAGCTGGCTGATTGGCTGGTGTCCTGTGCAAACAGGAGACGCTTATGAGCCCCACACCTGTGTAGTTGTACACGCTGTGAGGAGCACCCACCTGCCAGCTCCCTTGTTTCAGGTGCTGCTTTAGAGTTCTGTGCTGAGTGATGCATGTCCTAGACCCTCTGGAGGTTTCTGTGAGTGGTGATGGCTGTGCCTCCTCACAGGATTTGCATGAGGGAACATGAGAATGGGGCGTGAAGCAGTTACAGAACCTGACACAGAAAATGCTTCATCTATAGTAGCTTCTGTTGAGGCACTTTGGCTAGACATCACCTGAAACTACCCACCACAGAGACTGCCAGGCCCTTAAGACCTTTCAGTGAGAAACAAATCCAGGGTCCTACCTGATGGTGTCCAGTGATTAGGATGTCCCTTTGGGTGGAGTCCTGTTCTGTGTGGGCCAGTATCCTACTCCATGGAGCCCAGGCAGGAGGAGATATGAAGCGAATAATTATTTCTAGACATTTACATCTAGGACTGTATGTGGCCTCTGTCTCATTTGACTTATGTTATTGCAAACCCCATTTATAGAAGAGGAAACTGGTAAGTGAATTGTTCAAGATCACCTAGCTGGAAAGTTCAGAGCCAACCAGGGTTTGAGCTTAGATCTCTCTAGCTTCAAGCCGTGCAGTTCCCACTATTGTGTGTACAGGGGTTGGACAGACCTAGGGATGGGAGCTAGGAAGGAGATGGTATTGGCTTCATTGGTGGAGTTCTCTAGAGCCTCCCTGCCTGCTTTTCATGTGCCACTTACCCTGTAGTGTTTGCCTGGAAGGGCGAGACAGATGAGGAGTACCTGTGGTGCATTGAGCAGACGCTGCACTTCAAGGATGGACCCCTCAACATGATTCTGGATGATGGTGGTGACCTTACTAACCTCATCCACACCAAATACCCACAGCTTCTGTCAGGTGAGCAGGTGTGGGCACTAGTACCCTGAAGATATCTTGAAGGTCCTTCACATACATGAGGCAGTGGGCCTGGCAGAACTCTCAGATTGGAAGACAGGAGTTTCCTGCAGGCACTAGGCTTCTGACTTGTGATGTGAAGCCAGGGTAAGTGAGGGTCGGGACAGGACTGGCTGAGTTCATGAGTCACAGCCAATGTAGAGCAGTGCTAGGAATGGCTGCAGAGAAGCAGCATTGCTGACTGTGTGACAGGGAGGAGAGGATGGAGAGACAAAGGCCCTGAGGTAGGAAAAGATTGATTGTATAAAAACTTGGTGTGGCTGACTAATAAATGAAGGATGCCTTCTTTTGAGACTATTATTATAGGACATGATAGGACAGCTGGGTGAAAATGGTGTCAGGCACTAGGACAGTGGTGGTGGGAGGTGTGGGGAGGTTGAGTCATTAGCCTGGTAGGACTGTGGATAGAGGGCATCAGATGACACCTCCCTGGGTGACTGGGTGGACCTTACAATCAGGTACAGAGATGGGAACAAGGGAGAGGGGACACTAGGGACAAACAAAAGGGCTTTGGGTAGGGATATGTTCTCTGAAGCTCTTCCTCTCATTCAGGCATTCGAGGTATCTCTGAGGAGACCACAACTGGGGTCCACAACCTCTACAAGATGATGGCAAATGGGATACTGAAGGTGCCTGCCATCAATGTCAATGATTCTGTCACCAAGGTGAGCCCTGGGGTGGTGTCATCTCTAGCTGTTGGTGCTCAGTGAGCTTAGGAGTGAATCTCTGAAGAAAGGTGTCCATGAAGGGTATGTCTTGGGACATGAAGCTCTTATTTGAGAGGGACGGGACAACAGTGGTAAGTGTCTTGAAGGAAGAACTACTCACTAGGTCACAGCTGCTTCAGGTATCATGACTTTGATTATTAAGAACTGTAAAGTTAACCAAATTCTTTGACCCAGCAACCTGTCCTAGGCACTGATTCTCTAGAAAGGCTTCTAGACCAGCAGAGAAAAACTAGGGAGATGGTCTTGGAGTTGATGAGGATAGGGACATGTTGGAGAAGATTCTTAGGGGGTCAGCCCAGGCTGGCAGGGGGGTCTCAGCCCGGCCTGTGGGATGCCTGGTCTCAGGGCATTGCCTGCCCCCATTGTCCCCTTGCTCCCTCTCCTTTCAGAGCAAATTTGACAACCTCTATGGCTGCCGGGAGTCCCTCATAGATGGCATCAAACGGGCCACAGATGTGATGATTGCGGGCAAGGTGGCAGTGGTAGCAGGCTATGGTGATGTGGGCAAGGGCTGTGCCCAGGCCCTGCGGGGTTTTGGGGCCCGAGTCATCATCACCGAGATTGACCCCATCAATGCACTGCAAGCTTCCATGGAGGGTATGATAGGGTAAGGGTTGGCTGTGGGGCTCGAGGAAAGTGAGACCACCTTTGATAACACATGCTAATGTCTGCAGGCTATGAGGTAACCACCATGGACGAGGCCTGTAAGGAGGGCAACATCTTTGTCACAACCACAGGCTGTGTTGATATCATCCTTGGCCGGTAGGTACCAGGTGGGAGTCCTACAGAGCAAAGAGGACATGGTGTGGGACTGCGCTCGGTCTCTGGTCTCTCACGGGTTTGGGCTCCCTCATAGGCACTTTGAACAGATGAAGGACGATGCCATTGTTTGTAACATTGGACACTTCGATGTGGAGATAGATGTGAAGTGGCTCAATGAGAACGCCGTGGAGAAGGTGAACATCAAGCCCCAGGTGAGAAGCCCCAGCCTTCCCACTGGGCTGCCAGTGAGGGGCTGAGGAGGAGGAGGAGAGGGCTTGTTGGTTGCCCACCACAGAAGCTGTTGCAACCTAGAGAGTGGTGTGTGCATTGGAGAAGCCCGGTTAGAGCTGGGTTTGAGGAATCAGAGCTGAGGCTGCGGCTGCTGAAGTCCCTGAAGGTATCAGCAGATTGTGTCACCTTGCTGTTTCAGAAAGCCCACTTGTGCTTGTGAATGAAGATGGCAGACAGTGGCAGCTGAGGAGACAAGACTCTGAGGGTGCTCATAGCTGGGCAGCATACTGGCAGCCAAAGAGCGTGGGCTGAACTGGCAGCAGGGTCAGGATGGGGGAGGACCTGAAAGGGACATTGCATTTCTGTCTGTGCAAAGTAGGCCCCTACTGAGAGAAGGGACAGCTTTGCTGCAGGCATGAGAGTCCTTTTAGGAATATGCAATTTTTTTATTTAGGTTTTATTTATTGTTGGTTTATTTATTTATTTGTATAAGTAATGTTTGATTATAAGAGTAATGTTTCTTGAAAACTTTTTTTAAAGATTTATTTATGCCGGGCGGTGGTGGTACACGCCTTTAATCCCAGCACTTGGGAGGCAGAGGCAGGGGGATTTCTGAGTTTGAGGCCAGGCTTGTCTACAGAGTGAGTTCCAGGACAGCCTGGGTTATACAGAGAAACCCTGTCTCAAAAAACCAAAAAAAAAAAAAAAGAGAAAAAGATTTATTTATGTAATACACACACACACACACACACACACACACACACACACACAATCTGTATGTACACCTGCAAGCCAGAAGAGGGCATCTAATCCCTGTATCATTGGTTGTGAGCCACCGTGTGGTTGCTGGGAATTGAACTCAGGACTTCTGAAAGAGCAGACAATATTCTTAACAACTGAGCCATCTCTCTAGCCCTTGAGAACTGCTTTAAGTTAAGCTTTTTTTCTGCCTTGTAGAGCTGGAGATTAAACCCAGTGCTTCATATAAGGTAGATAAGCATCTGTCATCAAGTGAGCCATATACCCAGCCCTGCATTCAACCTTATATATACATGTATATGTACATATATGTGTGTGTTTATGTATGTGAGCACATGCATACTTGCATGTGGAGGTAAGAGATCAACTTGTCAGAGTTGATCTCTCTACTGTGTGGCTCTTGGGGATTGAACTTAGGCTTGGCAGCAAACAGCTTTACCTAGTGAGCCATCTCCCCCTCCTACATTCAGCTTTTTAATGGCAACTGAGAGCGTGAGATCTGGCCTGAGATTGTCCAGCTTCAAATTGCAGCCACCTGTGAGTGTGCAGCTCTGAACAGATGACTCAGCCTTGTAAACTGAAGTCTGAAAAGGGGAAGATGAAGCACTAAATGACAGTCATGTGCATGCAAAGGACTAGGTGCAGAGTATATGACAGTAATAATACTACTAGCTGCTACCTCCTGAGTACCTACAGAATGTCAAGTGCTTATAGGTCTGAGTTCATTAACTTCTTACAACAGACTTGTTAGGGCATTGGCTACTCTAAATTGTGTGTGGTCGCTCCAAAGGGTGGTGGTCTAGGGGGCATTCCAGATCGTCTGTGCAGCACAGGATGTTTTAACAAAGGCACGGGCAGTACCCATCACCTTACTGTTGCTCTGTTGCAGGTGGACCGCTACTGGCTAAAGAATGGGCGCCGCATCATCTTGCTGGCTGAAGGCCGTCTGGTCAACCTGGGTTGTGCCATGGGCCACCCCAGCTTCGTGATGAGCAACTCCTTCACAAACCAGGTGATGGCACAGATTGAGCTGTGGACCCACCCAGATAAATACCCCGTTGGAGTTCACTTCCTGCCTAAGAAGGTAAGCTCTTGACTTCACTGTAAGCCAAGGCTTATGTGCTGGTTCCTGGGCTCCCCCTGGGGGCTTGCTAGAGTTTATAAAGATATGTCTGTCTGCCCTCTTACTTGTCATGCAGAGTCCTCAGTGCTCCCTGGAGCACACGCACAGTGGCATTGACTGTGGAGTGTGACTCACCAGGTTTGGAGTTGTGTCTCCATTCCTTATCTGTAAAGTAAAGGCAAGAGTTCTTTCCTTGGCGATGGCAAGCATCTACCATATGTCTACAAGGATTGGCAGGAAGCTGATAAAGTAGGCTGAGGGGGAACTGAAAAGTTAAAGAATACACATTCCAGGAAAAGGGGTCTCTACCACTCAGCTGTCACCAGCCCAACACACAGCTCCAGTGGACAAGGCTTCTGCGCTCTGAAGAGAAGTCATGTGCTAAGGTCTTGATATGAAATAATTTAAAAATATATGCAACACATTATAGTTAAAAAAATGGATAGACCCCATTTGGTTTGTTTGTTCATCTGTTTGGTTTGTAGACAGGGTCTTATAATAACCCTGACTAGCCTGGAACTTGGTATGTAGACCAGGCTGGCCTTGACTCAGGTCTGTATGCTTCTGCCTCCTGGGACCTGGGATTAAAGACACAAGCCTCCACGTCTGTCTTGGATTGGTTGTTGTTCATTTTTATGGTGCTGGACATGGAGCCCAGGTCCTCGTACACAAATATCCCTTAGCTGCATCCTCGTACTTAGCTGGGTCAACACGGCACGTTTCTGCAGGTGTATTAGGTACCTTACTTAGTGATGACAGTAGCCACCATTTGTTACATTACCCCCTTGAACTAGCAATCTGATGTCACTGATCTTTGACAGCTTCAAAAGGTGGGTATTTGTATGTGTGCCCTACAAATGAGGAAACCAAGGTTTAGAGGCTGGTGTGCTCTTTGGAGGTTTTGGAAATCCAGATCTAACTGCCCATGTGGTCACCCCTTCTGTAGCACACTAGTCCAAGGTGCTGTGAGAAGGTAGGCATCCTGTGCAGTCGCCCAGGCATAGGAGACATCCCTTCCACTTGTAATTCGGACTCCAGGTTAGGTCTATCTTGCATCTAGCTTGAACCCACTATCACTTTCTTTAGGCTCTTCATCTGTTAATATAGGCATCATCCTGTCCTTCCTATTTCTGGGGGATGTTTGTGAAGTCTGAGTAACAGTGGAAATAGAACGACTTTGGAATATAAAAGCACTCTGGGCTGGGCTGTAGTCAGTGACCTGCCATTATGAGGTAGAACTTGGTAGAAAAGTGTCCCTGTTGATAATACGATATGTCCTGTTCATTCCAGGAAGCACTGTGGCTAGCGCTTTAGTTAGAGGAGTTGAGGAGATGTAGTTGGTGGTGCCACCAGAATGAATTGATGGGTGTGCATGGCTCTCTTTTGATGGGGAGCTCTGAAGCTGGCCATGAGGAGAGAATGAGGTGTAACGAGGGTGGTGCCACTTGTGAGTGCCCCATCAGAACAGTTTGTTGGCTAGATGCCCGTAAGGGTACTAGAGCATGACATTAACTCCTGGCTTTTCTGTCTTTCCCCAGCTGGATGAGGCAGTGGCTGAAGCCCACCTCGGCAAGCTGAATGTGAAGCTGACCAAGCTGACTGAGAAGCAGGCCCAGTACCTGGGCATGCCCATCAACGGCCCCTTCAAGCCTGACCACTATCGCTACTGAGTGCAAGGACTGTCCTTCACCTTCCAGCTGCCATCCTTGTTCCGGGCCCTACCTCTTGTTCCCAAGAGCATATGTCACCAATTTTGCAGTTGCTTGGCCAGTGTTCTCCCCAATCCCACGCTCTCACCCACACTGGGGCTGGTCACTCTGTCTTTGACCTCTGCTGTATCCCTTATACTGTTCCAGGTGTGACAGGGGAGCGGAGAGGTACCTGAGAGGCATCTACAGGGGATGGGAACTTAGAGAACTCTTGGGAGTCCTGTGGCTGGATATTGCTAGTGATGGTCACAAGCCCATGCACCTTATCCTCCAGACCTTCACTTGGTCTTTAGATCTGTGTGCTTGGTTTACAGATCCACTGGTTTCTCAGCCCAGGACCCAAGAAAGCTCTACCAAAGGGTAGGAACTCCTAGAGTTTGAAAGTTCCTGAGAGCTTGGCTTTTTTACTGTTGGGCTGTCTCTTAACTCTCATAATACTGAATTGGTACTTTTTTGGTCCCTATTTCACAAGGGTTAGGATAGATTAACCAAGAAAGGACAAGTGACAGAGACTGAAAGGGGCTGGAAAAACAAATAGGAAAAACCCTGTCGTTACTGTATAATTGATGGTTTCTATCACAGGCCCGGGTCACAAACAGATTTATTGGTTTTATAATGTTTATTTACTATTTAGAATGTTAACAAAGGAAGGTGGATAAAATACAGTTTCTAGTGCCTAAAGAATTTTGGCCCTTTATTAAAATTTAAGTGTGTGGCATATGTACATGTGTGTGCAGATACTCTGAGACAGAGTCCCTCACTGAACTGGAGCTAGGCTGTTTCTGCTCTCCCCAGTTCCCTTACCCCAGTGTTGGGGTTAGAGTTGAGCATGGCCATGTGTAGCTTTTACAAGTGCAAATGGTCTTACCCACTGAACCACCTCTTCAGGGATCTCATAATATGATTCACACAAAAATATATGAGAAATTGAGCTGCCTCTTATTTGTCCAAGTGATCAATTTACTGAACCCGTTTGACCTTGAAAGCAAATGAAAACAAGCCCCATGCTCAGGATGCCTAGAGGCTGTTCTAAGTACCCTCTACTGAGAGGTACTTAGAGCCTGGTGGAAATGCTAGGAAATGTGAGAGCCAAACCTGGATGGCTGGGATGTCCAGGTAAGGGCAGGTTCTCACACGGAGCTCTAGGACAGCCAGGGCTACACAGAGAAACCCTGCCTCAAACAGCAACAACAAAAGAGTAGGATTTTAGGTTTTTTGTTTGTTTTTGAGACATGGTCTAAAGTGGCTCAGGCTGGCAACTCTATAGCCAGAGTGACTCCATTTCTGATCTTCCTTCCTGCCAGTGAGCTGTGAGTACAGGTGTGCATGTAGGCTGGAGAACAGCCTTGTGAGGTCCACTCCTGCCTTCCATCTTTATGTGGGCTCTAGGGACCAAGCAGAGGGCTCAGGTGTGTACAGCAAACCAGTCACCTCCACCCCCAGCTCCTCAAGTTGACTGAGCCGACTGTCACAGGGCTACCTCCCTGCAGTATGTGTAACTGAAACTGCATAAACTACAAGAGTATATGATGACTTTGCTGAAAATCATTTATAAATTTTGATAAATTCAAAACTGAACCCACTTCTCAAGTGATCACCATAAAATGACAAAATAGACTAGTCAGGTCTTTCTGATGGACTGATCCCTGCGCTAGGAAGTGGGAGCAGGAGAGTTGGGGGTTCAGGGTCAACCTAGAGTTCCTGGGGAGTTGAGAACAGCTTGAGCTATGTGAGGCCTTGTCACCAATAAAAGCAGGTAATGGCCAGGCAGTGGTGGCACACGCCTTTAATCCCAGCACTTGGGAGGCAGAGGCAGGCAGATTTCTGAGTTTGAGGCCAGCCTGGTCTACAGAGTGAGTTCCAGGACAGCCAGGGATACACAGAGAATCCCTGTCTCGAACCCTCCCCTCCGCCCCCACACACACACAAAAAGCAGGTAATGATGGATGGATAGGATCAAAATTACTGAATAAAAGTACAAGGTATTCAGAGAATGAGAAACAATCCTAATTCATGAGGAAAAACAGATCTATTCCCAGTACTACTCTCTTTCTTTTTGTGTTTTCTTTTTCTCAAGCCAGAGTTTCTCTGTGTAGCTCTGGCTGTGCTGGAACTTACTGTAGACCAGGCTGGCCTCAAACTCATGATCCCCCTGCCTCTACCTTTTGAGTGCTGGGATTAAAGGTGTGCACTACCACCACCCAGCTCTCAATACTATTTCCTGCACATTAATTGTAATCAAGGTTTTAGGCCAAATAAAACCTTTGTTTTGAAATGGCTTTGCTATGTAGCAGAGGGTGACCCTGAATTTGCAGAAATTTTGCCTCAATTTCTGGAGTGCTAGGATCATAGGGGTCATCAAAGGGGACATTTTTAAAGATCTTACTCATTCTTCATGTGAACTTACTAGAGTCTTGGACTCTGAGGCACTGAAAGAAACCATGCAGATGAGCTAGCTGTTGTACTAGGTTGGATTCTTGGAACCAAAATCCAATACCTATACCGAAGGCCCATGGTTAGGAAGATAGGAGCTGAGTAACTGGATCTCGGGCCTCTAAGAGCGAGACTCCTGCAGAAAGGGCTGCTTGGTTTTATCATGATGGGTTTTAGACAAGATGGGGAGGATGATGCTTTGAGCCAGAGGTTCTGTAAACAGCAGCTATGCTGATCCCTCCAAAGGCCTGGCAGAATGCGAACACTTTCCCTCAAATCTGTCTCCCTGCATTTGGGCAAGTGCCTTCTCAGGTGTTGATCTGTGAGGGTCCTATGGTGGAGAGGACCTGCCACCTGGAGGTTCTGGTTTCGGTTACCCTGGCTTTTCCTTTCTTTAGGTTCTTATTTTCAGAACCTTTTCTTTAAAAACAAAACTTCCACATCTGGTCTCTTGATCTCAGGTGTGCTGCTCTATCACAGGTGTGACCCACAATGAAGGATGATGTGTCTCCTGCCTTCGTCACCTTCGTGGCTGGTGTTAAGGCTCCTTGTCGAAAGTTTCATGAGGAGAATTAGCTGAGGGTCCTGCAGAATCTGGCCTGGTCTTCATTGTGCTTTCCCTGTACCCCAATTGGGGAATCAGGGGCAGTGATTTGGGGGTTAAGGAGGAGAACTAAGTCATGCTACTCAGAATAGTGACAGAAATACCTCAGGTTGTTGCCTTGAAGCTCAAGTTCCATATCAAGTTTTGAGGATGGGGTTGGGGGAGCGGAGGGAGTTGTTTAGAGGGCAAAGAATTTAGAATACTGTGAGATCTGGACAATGCTTATCATATTTTATAAAAGCACCTTTGTACTCTATTCTGTAGTAGGAAGGACTCTCTTCACATTGCAAATGTTTGTTCTGAGTTACCGTTCACCTAGATGTCATCCAAATGGCCTCAAGGGAAGAATGCAAGACTCAGTGGCCTTGTGTACCAACCCTCCCACGTACACAAAAATGATAAAGACAGAAAGCAAATCCTCCCCTGCGACAGAGGGGGAGGGGGATAAGGAGAGATGGCATCTACACCACAACCCTCAGACGACTGACCACTTGACCAGAGGGCAAGGCTCAGCTCTGGAATGACTGACAGCCTGTGTTACCTTTCCTATGTAATCTGACTAATGAAATGGAAGGCAGATCTTACAGATGGGAAGACACACACACACACACACACACAATCTGAAGAAAGGCAAGTTTAAAGATTGAGTGCTTGCTGTCTGCCTTTGTGTCAGGGGGCAAAAATCCAGTTATAAAATCAGTCTGCTAGAACCTTAAGAAATACCTCAGAGTTAGAGCCTTGCAAAAAATAGAAAGTCAGAGTTTAGATACGGAGAGATGGTACCCAACGCTTCAGCAACTCCTCTGAAGTCACCTCACAGGTCTGGGTACTTCCTGCCTCCAGGTGTCAGGCTGTTGGAGACTCCTAAGGCTTGTGACTCAAGGATCCCTTTTTCAAGTCTTAGCTGGAACAGAAGTAATGAACCTAGAGGGCTGGAGGAAGCACAGATTATAAAGCCCAGGAAAGGTCATGGGGCCACTGATAGATACAGCAAGAACTCCAGAAGGCAGCAGACAGTGTTTTGCTCTGACTTGGACAGGAAGCCAGATTCCTACCCAGGAGACAAAACCACAGAACTTGCTTGAAGCAACCAGGGGTGTTCATGCAATCTGGGCCTTGCCAACTAACTTCACTCAATTCCTCAATTGACTTTGAAAATTGTCTTTTGAATAAGCACGTGATCCAAGTTGGTCTAGCTGTCAAACACAGAGCTTTAGGAATTTTGCTAGAAATCTGGTGTATTAGACAGTGACCCAGGAGCTTGCTCTGGAAGCTGAGAGTGAATTCCTGTAGCTGTAATTTTACTGTTGGCTCAAGTAGTCTTCAGCCATTGGGCATAGAAATTCTAAAAAGGTGTGAAAACCTCCAAGAGGGTTGTTTGCTGACTTCCCCAACAAGATGAGAGCGGAAAGCCAAGCATCATTACCCAGAGTGCACTCTCAGATCCAGCTGCAAGCTGGCAAGTAGCTACTGTCTTCCTGCAAGCTATCAGGAGAAAGTCTGCTCTTGAATGAATATAACACAGATATATACCATTTTGAAATATTTTACTTGATAAAACAAAACCCATTCCTTTTCTTTTCAACTGCTTTCTTTTCCAATGCACACACCTACCTTTGGTCCATGGAAGAAGAAAGTTACTACAGATGGTTGGCTAATTCGGATCAAATCACTTTCTTTTCTTCACTTACCCTTTTTCCTCCTCCACACATGTGCATTGGCCCCTGGAGCTAAATTTCTTCATAAAGTTCCTATTGGAGAAGGGTAATTTCCTGTCAGTGGGCAGTGGTGCCACATCTGTGCTTGTCGAAACAGATGGAAAAATTTAGAATAAGGACCTAGTAATTGCCAGACTCACTGACTTAATAATGTCCGTAGTCTGGGTCCCTGAAGGCCCTCTACCTCCGAGACTACTGTTTTTGAAGTATATTGCTTCTGTGAAATCACAAGCTTTAATTTCTTTAAAAAATATCAAAGTCTTTAAAAAGATGTAATAAAAACATGAATGTTTAAATCTTCTATGCATTAAAGCTTAACATGTTGAAAAACCACCTGGACCAAATTCTGAAATAAACTGCTGTTTCCGTTTAATAGAAGGCTATACGAGATCATGGGGTGACCTGTTAAAACCTTTTATGTCTCCAGATGATTTAAACTTTCTTTTGAAACCAAACCAAAAGATGAACTGGTTGATGAGGCTGATACAGGAGGTTGACTGTTAGTATCTAATCCCTGACTTCAATTTCTGGCGTGCATTCTTCTAACATACTGATAAAAACCTCCTCCATATGTGCTCTATGACGAGGGTCTCATTTAAGACTTCAGCATCTGGGGCTGAAGGAGTATGTAGCTAGGTTGGTAGAGAGCCCGTTTAGCAAACATGAAGCCATGGGGTGGATCCCTAGCAATGCATAAAACAAGCTACACATGGTTCTACATGCCTTTCATCTGGCACTTTGGAGGTAGAGGCAGGAGGATCAGAAGTTAGAAGCTAGCCTGGGTTGCATGAGACTTCCATGCAAGAAAAAAAAGTAACTTGTTCAAGGTTACATTATGAGGACTTCAGGTGCTCATGGGAAGAAATGATGAACAGTGGAGCAAACCTTCCCATGACAGAGTTTACCCAGTGTGCGTATGGTGGGGAAGGAAATATAATTGTGTTGAAGTTGGATTAAGGCACTCATAACCTTATACAACCATAACCTTTGGGCATAAATGTGAACTTCAGTTCTGGTCACCAAAGTGGGAAGAGTTTTGCAATGGCCCGGGCCATGCTCTTAGGACTCGAAAGCTTACAGAGGAATTCCGGAAGAGTAGAATGTCAGCGTCTCAAAGTTGAAGGAAACCTTGGAACTGTGAGTACCTAAGCAGGGATCTGAGTTGATGGGCACATGAGCTAAGTGTGTGGGAAGAGAACCCAGAGGCTAACAATTGTTCTCGCCTCTGAGGATCAGTGGTCAAGACCCACTGGACTGGTAAGCTCTGTAGGGTCAATACCCACATTGGAGTTTCTCATTAGAGTGGTTACAGTACCTGACATACAGTAGATGGTCAATACACACTTGCTAATGAGTGAGCTGCTGGATTAGTCATCTAAACCCAGTAACTCAATGACTTAATAAAGGGCTATGGGGTGGTGGTGCTTGTTTAGGTCCCAGCATTGGGAGGTAGAGGCAAGTGAATCCTTAGTTTGATGCTAGCCTGGTATACTCAGCTAGTTCTAGGCCAGCCAGAGCTATACACAGTGGTATTTTTGACTCAACACAAAACCAAATTAAAAACAAACCTTTGTAAACAGTAAAAAGAAATGGACTGAGGGTGGAGCTTTATGTGCCAGCTTCAGCGCTGGGACAGCACCTGGTCGATAAACAGTGTCAGGACTGTTGCAGTATGTTCCCAATATCTCATTACTGATGACATTTATTCAGCAGCAGCTGTCGTGCAAGGAACAAAATGTCCTTGCCTTTCGAGTTTGTAGCCTAAATGAACAGAAAACAGCAAGCAACTGGCAGCTTCTCTGTGATCGTGGATGTGTGTGTGTGTGTGTGTGTGTGTGTTGTGGAGCTGTGTTAAGGCATAGAGAAATAACAACTTCCTGGATTTTTACCAAGAACAGCAGGAATTAGTATTTCTTATTTTAAAGATAAGTATATGACAGCTCAGGGAGACACACAAGGACTTTCCCAGTGTCAGCACTGTGTGGGCAGCTTTGCTTGGAGCACCTGTCTTTTCTTGTGTCCTGTCCAGGTGGTAGCTGGGTAAAGGTGTTGGCCTCTTTGTTTCCATACTAGGTAAGTATGTCACCAAAGGCACAACCTGGGTCTCTATTTGGGAAGGTCGGTGGCAAGAAGGGGGATTTGAAGGAATAAAATTTGTACTTATCATACATACTTTTGTTGTGATGTGTGCTTGAGAATGTATGTGTACCGTAGCAGTTAGACAACTCTTCTCTTACTTTTACATAGGTCTTGGGGATTAAATTCAGACTGGCAGGCTTGTGAGCCATCTTGCCAGCCCATTTAAGGCATTTGAAAGAACAACAGCAAACAGACACAAAAGCTTGAAAAACTAGTCCTGTATCAGACCTTATGCCTCACTGTCTACACACACACACACACACACACGCACGCACGCACGCACGCACATACATACACGCACACACATACACACACACATACATATACACACACACACACACCTCTTGCTCCTTCCCCCTCTCTGGTTATCAGGGCTGAGATAAGGACTCCAAGCTTTTCTGTCTTATAACTTCTATGGAATCTTAGATTTTTTTTTTGGGGGGGGGCAGGCCTTTTTGTTTTCTTTTGGTATTGGCAGTGCAGTAATTTGCAGGGGTAGGGTAGGGGCAGCCCAGGAGAGGGAAGGGAGCTCTGTTCATGATTCTTCTCAGCCTTTCTTCCTAGCACTACGAGCACAGGAGCACAAGTGCCACAGCCAAGGACAAGTAGACGACATTATCCAGAGCCCTTCCTCTAGTTTCAAGGGGCAACCATCTGCCCCTCCCTGCTGGTCCTTCCTTACGGAACCTGCTTCCTAAACTCTGACTCCTTTCTGCAGGTGTTCTACCTTTCTATCTCGCACAGTTCTTTCAAAGTTACGTAGCCTAACCTCAGTTTCTCACAGACTGAGTCTCTGTGGGACTTCAGGAAACAGTCTGGAACATTTTTGGCAACGGGTCCTTAATAATTTCCTTCTATTGCTGCTTTTCAGCCGCACCCCCACTCCCCAAACTTTCTTATCGGTCAGTGGAACTAGGGTGAAGATGAGGAAGGTTATCTAAAATTTTGCTTCTTTGGGAGCTCAAACTCTAGGCTATTAGATTTTTTTTTAAGCCTAGCGTAAGAAAAACACTCAGGTCCAAACATCTGTGTGCCCTTGGAATCAAGGGAGCAGTGGGTTTGGGTGGTGCCTTTGATTGAGAGCCTCTTAAAGTTCTGGGATGCTCAACCCAGATCCTTCTGGTTTTAGAAACCCATTGCAAGTGCACGGTCCCGCCTTGCCTCGCCCACCCGACAGAGACTGCTTATGGAATTCCGCACGTCTTAGATTTTGTGCTCCAGCTTAAGGATGGGTGAGAAGACTGGAAGGCGGTTCCCTAATGGTTCCTTTCCCTTGGTTTGGAGGCAGCCTGGGCACTGGCAGGCTGGAAGGAACTGGGAAACATTGTGCCCTTCCGCAAGTTGCAGTGACATCAACCTCGTGAGCAATTGTAGGCGGAATAAAGCAGAGTTTCCCTAAGGTCAAGAGTGGATGGCGCGTGCGCAGACTGCGGGGTATCCGCAAGGACCAGAACTCCATAACGCGGCTGGATGCTTTCGGCTTTTTAAAGAAACAGTCACACTTTCTCGGCAGCCTAAAAATACTGTATTCTGATTTTAGCCTCCACTAGGTTTCCTAGAAAACCCGTTTTCTGAAAGCGCCCACAACTCACCAACACTGGCCACGCCCACCCATAAACCCCACCCGCAGAGACCCGCCCCTCAGCCTAGAAGCGCCGGACCCTGAAGTCCCGCCCAATCACCCGTTCCAGAAGCTGCGCGCGCAGCGCAGAAGGCGCGTCAACAGTTGGGGTTGAGTACGCGGCAGGCGCAGGCGCTGCCGAAGAAACGGCACTGGCAGGAGGCGCACGGGTCGCAGCAGGCGGGCGCAGGCGGCTTGCAGCTGTCGCGGGTGGCCACGCAGGGCGTAGGTGGCGGGGGCCGTGCCACCTTCTTCATCGAAGCCTTTTTCTGTAGAGGAGACATCGAGGACTGCTGAACGGGCCACACCATCCTGCGATCCTCATGTGCTGTGGAGGTCCAGGACCGGAGACCTCTGCCCCGCTGCCCACCTCTACTCATGCGTACAGGGCATCCCAGTGGGTCCTTGCCCTCCACTCCAACCTACACACTGCCTTCATCTTCAAACTTACCTAGCTCCGATTTGGCCCTTTTCTTAGACCCCACTCAGCCCCAGTTTTAAACAACCTTCTGGTTTCAAGCCTTTCACCATCCGTGTTATCCACTGCTCCTGGGTTAAGCCACTCACTCACTGCCTTCTTTCCCTTAGCCACCCTGTCCTCTAGAGTTAACATCCTCCAGTGCACCAAAGAAGGGCCTTTCTATGTCCTCATCGTCTGCTTAAGGGCTCCAAGTAATTGGAGAAACAAACTTTCTATTGGCCCTGGAGGATCCCTGTGTTTGGTATCTGCCCTTTGAGCTAGCTACCCCATAGCCTAGAGACATTATTTTAGCACTGGTAGTCAGGTCCCGTTTGCTGTTTAGTAATAAAATGTGGACAATGCAACCGAGGAACTGAGTTTTCTATTTAAATGTAACGTAAACATGTATTTTCCTGTTAAACACAAATTTACTAGGACCACACTTTGTGTTTGAATTGACGTGTACAATGTCAGCTGTACATCAGATTTTAAAGACTGCATAAAAGTAACTTTAAAAATTGTTTAATGTTGAAATATTAATACTTTATACCGAGTTTTAAATATTGTTAGTCTTTTAAGGTGGGTATTAGAAAATACAAAATTATGTATTTATGGCTTATGCTACTGGACATCGCTGTAGATTACTAAAATTTTCATTTACTCCTACTTCTCTAGGCCTTCATCATGCTTTAGTCCTTCCTGGTATACATCATCTAAGAATTTAAATTTATTTTTTGACTTACTTGTAGCCTGGTTTCCCCATGTAAGCCCCATACAGCATAATCTCTTGTTTGCTGCTGTATTACCAGCACCTAGCATGTATTTTGTTCAGCGCTCCCTGCTTTGGTTACAGTTGATCCAATTAGCCGAGCCACACTAACATAGGAATAGGATGTGCATTTCAACCATGCTTCAATCTGCTATTTATCAGAGTGTAGGAACCTGTATTATCGCAGTATGGTTTTAGGTATAGGTACAAAAACATGAAATGGTCCTCAACCAGTGAGAAAGCATTCTTTTTTTCTGTGTATTTCTGCTTGAAAGGCTCTATTCCTAATATATCCTTAATTGCTTTTTTTCCAATGCATTCTAACTGCCTTTTAACAAAGCATATTTTAGCAGTGTTTCTCAACTCGTGGGTTCTGACCCCTTGTGGGGTTCTTTTTTTTTTGGTTTTTGGTTTTTGGTTTTTCGAGACAGGATTTCTCTGTGTAGCCCTGGCTGTCCTGGAACTCACTCTGTAGACCAGGCTAGCCTCGAACTCTCCAACTCAGAAATCCACCTACCTCTGCTTCCCAAGTGCTGGGATTAAAGGCGTGCGCCACCACCGCCCAGCCCCTTGGGGGTTCTAATAACCGTTTCACAGGGGTTACCTAAGACCACCGGAAAATACAGATATCTATATTACAATTCATAACAGTAACAAAATCACAGTTATGAAGTAGTAGTGAAAATGATTTTATGGTTGGAGTCACCACAACATGAGGAACTGTATTAAAGGGTGAAGGACCCCAGACTTAGAGCCTTTAGCATGTAATAACATCCAGCTGATTTTTTTTTCCATAGTGGGAAACTGAACCCAGGGCTTTGTGTGTTACAGGCCAGCTTTACTACTCCCCTATCCTTTAAAAATTTTTCATTTTGTGACAGCGTTTCAATTTGCTCAGGTGGGCATTGAATTTGCTGTAAAGCTCTAGCAGCCGTTGAACTGGGGATCCCCCTGCCTCAACCTCCTAAGCCCCTGGGATTGCAAGCCTGTGCTGCTGTGCTCAGCTAATGGTATTTTATTTTCGATGAGTCTCTTACTCTAGCTACAGCAAGTGATGTCAGTTTCTAAGCAGACTTCTATTCTTCAGTGGCTGTCCAGCCCAGGCTCATTCAGAACTTGCTATGTAGTTTGGGATGGCCATGAACTCCTGATCTCTGTGCTTCCACCTCCCAAATACTGGGAATACAGCTGTCTGTGTGCCGCCATACCCAACTTACAGTTTCATTAAAAAAAATTTCTTTTTGAGACAGGGTTTCTCTGTGTAGCCCTGGCTGTTCTGGAACTCACTTTGTAGACAAGGCTGGCCTCAAACTCAGAGATACACCTGTCTCAGCCTCCTAAATTCTGAGGCTAAGGGTAAGCACCACCACAACCTACACATCTTCTATTTTCTATTTTTTTACATCTTATTTTTATAATTTTATTTTTATTTGATGTGCATTAGTGATTTGATTACATGTATGCCTGGGGGAGGGTGTCGGATCTCCTGCAACAGGAGTTTCAGTTGTGAGCTGCCATGTGGGTACTTCGAATTGAACCGGGTCCTCTGCAAGAACAGCCAGTGCTCTTAACTGCTGAGCCATCTCTCCGGACCCGCCCCCCCCCCCCCCCTTCTGATTTTTAAGCAGGTGAAACAGCTGGGCATGGTGGAATGGACCTGTATCCACAGCACTCTGGGAGTTCTGGACAAGGAGGATGGAGGGTTTGCAGTCAGCCTGCACTGCATAGCAAAAGCTTGCTGGAAATAATGCTGAGAGCATGGCTCAGTCGTGGAACACTGTCCAGCTTGCACAAGGCCCTGGAACTTGGTCCCTAGAACTACAAAGGAGGAGGGAATAAAAGAAACTCAGGTACAGCAAGAGCAGCCGGATTTAGGTAAATATCCAAAAGAACTGAGTGACAGATTTGGGGAATGCTTAATTAGCACTGGGAATTTTTCAGCAGGCTGCTGTTTTGCTCAATGAATTTAGGCTCTCTGGTTTCTATGGAAGCCTTAAGGCTCTAGGCTGGGAAACCTTCTGGTAGTTTTTAGTTTGTTTCCTGGAGGCGGGGAAGTATCTTTCATTTAGTTCTCAGCCATGGCTTGCGGGTCTCCCAACCCCAATTAAGAACTCCCAGGCCTACCTTGGAAGATCTCTTCCGCTTCTCGGCTTCTTTTCTGCTGATCTTCTTGGATTTCTTGTTCAGTGCTTCAAAGAAAGACAGAAAGAGCAAAGCCAGATGTTTCTGGGGGCCCAAGTTGTGGTGGAGTGGGAGGAGCAGAGGGGGCTCTGGGAAGTCTCAGGGTGGAGGAGAGAAAGAGGGACTTCCGGATGAATCACACTAGGGAATCAAGCCAGCAGGTTCTTGTTAGCCTAGCTTCAGACCTAAAGAGCTATGTGCTCTGAGGGGAGGCCAAGAGTAAGTCCAAGAGGGACCTGGGACCTGTCAGTGGCATCTGTTTAGAGACCCAGTCTTTGACCTTGCTAGCCCTTGATTGCTGCTTGATCACTCCAGGTGCCCCCGTTGTAGTTTTATCCTTGCAGGTGCAAGAACACTGCCAGCCTCTGAAAATGGACTCAGCCTTTTGTTACTGGGCACATGTGTGTTATCTATTATTATTATTATTATTATTATTATTATTATTAAATCTCATTAGCCAGGTATACCTGACTTGAACCTATATAACAGCTATGATCTTTTCCTTGACAATCAGTTTTCTCATCTTCCAGAAAGAGTTCTATCAAAAGAAAATTTTATATGTTTATGAAACAGAAGGTCTGACATGGGGCTGGAGAGGTGGCTCAGCAGTTAAGAGTACTTGGTGTTTGTTTCTGGTTTGTTTCTCCACATGGTGTATAAGTGTACGTGGAGGCAAAAATACTCATTCACATAAAAATAAAATATTTTTTTGAAAGTTAATGTAGATATTTAAATTTATTTAAATTTATTTAAACAGAAATTTATTTTATTAGTTTAATTATAAGGCATCAGTGAAACAATGCAAGAAGCCTTTTTTTAAATTTTTTTTTAATTTTTTTAAAAATTTTTTCTCAAATCGTAATTAATTCACACAGGGGTTACAAACACAGAAAGGCAGGATGTGGGGAAGGGAATGACACTGGAGTGTGGGTGTTCAGGGGGAATACAGATATCTTCAGAACCAGGTATCGGCTAGGTGAAGGTTCAGGGGACAATTCACTATGACTCTGCCTATGACTCGCTGTCCTTATCTAAGTTGGTATTGTCTGCCCAAGCTACCTATTTACAAGGTCTATGACTACTCAGGCTTATAAATTTCCACAAAAGCTGCCTAAAATAAAATATTTTTAAAAGTCTGATATATCAGCTGGGCATGGTGGTACACACCTTTAGTACTCACCTTTACTTGGAAGGCAGAGGCAGGATCTCTGAGTTCAAGGTCAGCTTGGTCTACAGAGTGAGATCCAGGACAGCCAGAGCTATACAGAGAAACTTTGTTTTGAAAAAACAAAAACCAATAACTAAATAAAATAAAAAGGGCTGGCATATCAATAGTAATTAAAGACCATTGATGTCTCCCTTTTCTCCTCTTGTGACTTCCCTGGTGTGTCTAGACTAGACAATATTTCTGTACCTAGTGACGTGCAAGTCTGCAAAGAGCTACTAGTTGTGAGTTTCCATGGATAATCTGCCTCTGTTTGCATTAGGAACTAATGTCAGGAGGCTCGAGTTTCATCAGTTGTAAAATATAAATAAAACAGGAGTGACCTCACAAAATCAAGCATACTATGTGTATCATTATTTTGGTGACGGGAGCTCAATCGGGCCTTATGCATGCTAAGCATGCACTCTGCCACTGAGCTTCATCCTAGCCCTTTATGATTAGGTGAGATCAGACCACGAGATCTCCAATGCCAGACTTTGATGCCCCCCATAACTTCCCATCCCATGGCAAGACTAGTTTATTGCAGACTCATTTCTAGCCCGTGGTTTACCTAAAGTTTCTTTTGTTGGATTTTATGATTCATTAAATTTCATTAATGCTAGATAAAATCAAGTCCACCAAGCATCTTGACTTGAGACTTCCTCAGATCTCTGACAAACTAAACTTGGAGAATTAGAGCGGTGGCATGCAGAGCTTTCCCAAACCTAAGCACTCAAGGACACTGTATTTCCCTAGGAATGAGCAACAAAGTGCCATAGCTGTGGTGCTGGCAGCCAGGGCAACAGGCTTGACATATTGTACTCCCTCTCATGGGTCAGAGCCTAGAGGCTGGGTCCCAAGACTGGCTACTTACCCACAATAGAAACAGAGGAGAAATCCAATGAGTTCATGGAAGAGTTACTCTTCAGACTCCTGTCCTCTCCAAGTGTCTCCTCGAGTACCAGGTGGCTGTAGACGGTGAGGAAGCACAGGAAGCCCACTAGGGTGGCCAGGAGTAGGCGGGTAACATCCATCCTGAGAAGCCTAAGTTGGGCAGAGAAGGTGATCAGTGGTGGGTGGGAGAGAAGATGACGCTAAGGGATGGAAGTGCCTTCCAGCTCTCTATGTGCCTCTGGACTGGTGCTCTGACTCTGCTACACAAGTCTCTCGGCAGGGCCGGAAGTGTAGCAAGGCTGAGGGTAGGGGAGGGAATGTTGATATGGGGATATGACAGAAAAGGAGAGATGGGGAGAAGAAAGATGAGGGAGGGAAGTAGGGAGGGAGATTGAAGCAAAGGGACAAGAATTCATTGTGTTGCTTTGTGCTGTCCAGAGGGTGGAGTACTGACTCTCTGTGTTTCTTTTCTTTCTCTTTCTTTTTTCCCCCTTCTGTACAAGCAACAGTCCCCAGAGACCTTAGGCTTAGGCAGAGTTGTTGAAAGTGCCTCCTGGCCCCCAGGAGTGCCTCACAGTGGCAGAGGTCTTTACTAAGGTGAAGAGAATACAGCTAACCAGTTAGAGCTCAGTGAGAAGGATGAAGGACAAAGACTCCTGAAGACAAGTGTATGTCATAGACCCCAATTCCCTGCTGACCCAGAGAAAACGAATGCGGGGAGAGATGAGTCAGGGCATGACAACGGGAGCTAAATGGACTTCTTGATTTGCTACCCTGAGTTTGAAGGGGCAGGTGGATTTTTAGCAGATTTCTTTCCTCAAATATCTTCTGTCACACTATTGGATCCTCACCCCTTCCCGCCCCACTGCCCCATTTCCCTCTGGGGTTTTGGAAAAGCCTGGGTCTGCATTTCTAAGGTTCCCTCCACCCGAGGCACATGGACTGTCAGAGAGAAGAGAGTAACGTAGGTTGCTCATTCTGATCCTACCCACTCTTACCTAGGCTGCCTCTGCAGCTCCCTGGCCAGTGCTAGCCTCCTCCTCTCTGTTCTCAGCATTTGATGTCAATGTGACACAAGTCAGAGTCATTTGGGAAGAGGGAACTTCAATCGAGAAATTGCCCCTGCCAGGCTGGCCTGTGAGAAAGCCTTTTCTTGATTGACGATTAATGTGGGAGGGTCCAGCTCACTGTGGTTAGTACCACAACTGGGGTAGTGGTCCTGAGTGTTATAAGAAAGCAGGCTGAGTAAGCCATGAAGAGATGCCATGAAGCAGCCCTCCTCCATGGCCTCTGCATCAGCTCCATGTTCCTGCCTGATTTCCTCTGATGATGGACTGTGACCTAAGAATTGTAACCGGAACAAACCCTTCCTTCCCCACATTTCTTTTGGTCTTTTGCTCTATTGAAGCAATAGAAACACTAACGCAGACAGTTGGCATCAGGTTTTCTGCATGTCTATTATATTGCAGGAGAAAACCCAAGCAACTGGCCTTCACCCCTTCCAATCATCTTGGAACTGTAAGGGATGGTCCTGACCTTTAGAAGTCCACCCACCCATGTAGCCCCAATGACAGTTCTTTTGATGGCCTCAGATCTTCTTTTTCATCACCCGGCATTGCCTATCATAAGCTCACCACCAAATTACTCTCCCAAAGTCTAGTTAGCTGAGAGTGGGCACTGGCCCGACCACTGTGCTTTTCATCTTGGCTCAGCCTTAGTGAAGATGTGCAACTCTGGGCAACACTGCTTTTTGTCAGGCTCTGATTTCTTTCCTGGTGAAGTGAGAGGAATGGACCACATCTGTGGTCTGTACTCACGTACAGGCTAACTCTTCAAAACGAGAGTGACAGGTATAGTATGTGAAAGGAGGGGAGGTAGCTCAGCTGGCAGAGTAAAGAGGGTTCAGTTCCCAGCACTACATAAGCTGGGGATGGCAGCATACCCGTATAATCTTAGGAGAATGAGAAGGCCAAGGTCATCCTTGGCTACGTAGTGAGTTCAATGTCAGTTTGGGCTGTTACTTAAAACCCCATCCCTTGGCCAAAGGCAATTTTTTTGGGGGGGGGGGTAACATGAAGCCACTAGATCAAGTCTTGCCTGATGACCATCTTACGACTGGACTCTCACATAAAATAATGTTTCCCTTGTTATTTTAAGCTAGTATGAGTTGAGAGTTTTCTTCTCAACCCAAGGCGTTTTTTTGGGCAGAGGGTAATTTGTTTTGGGTTTGGATTTTTTTTTTCAAACAAGCTCTCACTATGTATCCCAGGCTGACCTTGACTTCAGAGTCCTGGGATTGCAGGTTGGAGCCACTATACCCATCTTTTAACTCAAGGCATCCTAAAGATGCTCTTTCCTGTCACCTGCAATAGCATGGTATATCACAGGTGGTTTAGATCTAAAACTAGACTTCAACCAAAAACAAAACAAAAGTCAGAGTTCAAATTTTCTCCAGCATGGCAATAATGGCTGATATTTTTCTTCTCCTATCTCTTCCTCTATCTTGCCTTCAGTGCCCCCTTTCAACCTGCAGCAGAATAAGCTGGTATATTAGGCTGCCTTCAGGGCTTGTATTTTACAAAAGAATCCCTTCTTTTTGAACACCATGGTCACAGTGTTCATAGTGAAAGACTCACAGACACAGAGACACGGCAGCTGAGACTGGCTGAGCAGACACCTGTTCCAGAGCAAGCTCTTTCCATCCTTGAAGACCCTCTCCAAATGGAATGTTGAGCAGAATCATCTACACTAGTAGAAACCCCTCTCCCAGCTTTCCTCACTCACAAGGTAGTTACACGTGGCCTTGACAACGAAAAGTAAGTGCAGAACTTGACTATCCTGTAGGCCTTCATCCAGGAACCATCTTCCCTAGAAAAGAATCTTGGTCTCTGTCTCCTTTTTCCATTTTCTCATCAAGTTTTACTTTATGTTCCCCCAAACAATTTCCTTGTCTTTTACCCCAGCCTCACTTTTTGTTGTTGTTGTTTTGTTTTGTTTTTCAAGACAGTGTAGCCCTAGCTGCCCTGGAACTCACTCTGTAGACCAGGCTGCCCTTGAATTTAGAGATCTGCCTGTCTCTGCCTCCCAGATGCTGGAATTAAAGGCGTGCGCCACCACTGGCTTCCCAGCCTCCTTTTCAACGGAACGGTCTTCACATGGCCCACAACCCCCTGCTTTTCTCTCCATCATGGATCACCTTGTTCATCTATCTCCTCTCCTTCTCCTTCTCCTTCTCCTTCTCCTTCTCCTTCTCCTTCTCC